AATAGAAAGCATACTATTTAAATTCCTCTGGCTGCCGGAAAAGATCGAGGCAATTGGAAGAAAAAAGCTCCAACTACCGTTGGCGGATGGGGGTTTAAACATGGTGGAGGTAAACTCCAAGATTGAGGCATGTCAGGTAGAAAAGCTGAAAGCCTTTATGATTGGTAAAGACCTAAATCAATTCTGGCACCACGAAGGACTCTATTCATTAGGATCCAAAATCAAATTTATAAATGAGGATTTATACTCCAACTCCACTCCCCACAGCAACGTAATCCCTAGATACTGGGCACATCTGATCAAGATCTTTCAGAAAATTGACCTCACTCGTGACCAGTGGATAACAGCAAGGCATAGAGACATATACCAATCACTTAAAGAATATACTAGACAACAGTTACGAGAACAGCCACCACAACAAGTAGCTATAAACTGGGAGCAAGTACACCTCTTCAACACAAGCTACATAGCAAATGTAGAAAGAATTGTCTCCTATCGAATCACCCGGAATGGATACATCTTCGGGGAAAAGAAGCGGGGGATGACGATCCGGTTCAACCCATCGGGCAAACTAAAAATCCTAAACTGTAAGTTATGCATGGACAAATCGGACAACACCAAGCACATCTTCCTCAATTGTAAAACAACTGGTAGTTATATTACAGAAATCTTAAATTGCCTCAATGCCATACTGGACACCCAAATTATCATAAATAAAGATCAGATTTTTTATAATAGTTACAATGGCCCACATCAAATTGCTGTGACCAAAGCCTTTGTTTTACTGAAAAAGAACATAATTAAATTAAAACTACAACTAGACACCCTGGATCGATATCTTGCCCCCACGGACAATAACATGATATCCAAAACTGTAACCCAAATCATGGAATTCTTCATAATGATAGAACATAAATTCAATGACGTGCAACCTTTAGGACTAAGGAGTAACTGGAAGGAAATACTAAACGGCTATCTGACGGTCTAGCAAAATAAAATAGCAACTTGGAAACTTTTAATCAGCCACCATAAATGGTAGACCGAACCAAAATTCAAAACTGCTCGACGAAATTTATTCTTAACCCCGATAATACCATCCAATACAGCGGAAATGATGAATCGGGAGCTACTCGGTGGATGTCATGCTGCGTTATACGCGGTATGTACGGAAGCCGGGGTGGCCGAAGTTGTGCCCTGCCCTGCATGGCATAGACGGAAGCCCCGGGTTGAAGCATATGCATTGCATATGTAGAAGCCTGGGGTGGAAGTCCGTGTCTTGCTGGTGCGCGGCACTTACTGAAGCCCCCGGAAGTGTATGACTACTGCTTGCAGTAGCATGCTTATGAAGCGATTGACCGATATAACTCGGATATGACGTGTCTTAAAGACACTGATCCGAGTTTGGAAAAACTTCTGATCCGCCAGAAAAAAAAAAAAAAAAAAAAAAAGTATTTAATATTGTATCTTGCAATTCGAAATCAAAATGTGTTCCCGCTAACCCCTTACTTTTCTGATACTTTCTGCGGGACAAACGAGTTAACCCGTGCAGGTGCGCTACTGCATTGCCAGACTGCTATTATGAAAATGGATTGTGCAACCTCGAAATCAAATTGTGTTCCCGCTAACCCCTTACTTTTCTGAGACTTTCTGCGGGACAAACGAGTTAACCCGTGCAAGTGCGCTACTGCGTTCCCAGACTGCTATTATGAAAATGGATTGTGCAACGAGCTTCACAATACAGTGGCAATCATTACAGATGTTTGATTATAGGTTCAACTCGAGCTATAAGCCTCGAAACATTCACTATTCGATTAGGCTGTGACTCAATATTTAATATTGCATGTTCCAGCTCGTAGTAAATTTCAATTTGTTTGGCCCTCTCTTGGCTTTGCGCCAGACGAACGAGTTAATCCTATGGGCGGCCTCGTCTGTTGTTGCCGACTTCTGCGCAGCGTAAGGCCATATTGTCTTTGCTAATGCCCAGTCTTCTCGTTGCAGTTGTCATTCAAATCTTGATAGCATTGATTGTGTAATCGCATCAGATTCAAAACAGTGGTTATCATTATTGCTGTTATTAAGGTGGGTTTCTGAGCCGTGGCTCGGTATTTAATATTGTATCTTGCAATTCGAAATCAAAATGTGTTCCCGCTAACCCCTTACTTTTCTGATACTTTCTGCGGGACAAACGAGTTAACCCGTGCAGGTGCGCTACTGCATTCCCAGACTGCTATTATGAAAATGGATTGTGCAACCTCGAAATCAAATTGTGTTCCCGCTAACCCCTTACTTTTCTGAGACTTTCTGCGGGACAAACGAGTTAACCCGTGCAAGTGCGCTACTGCGTTCCCAGTCTGCTATTATGAAAATGGATTGTGCAACGAGCTTCACAATACAGTGGCAATCATTACAGATGTTTGATTATAGGTTCAACTCGAGCTGTAAGCCTCGAAACATTCACTATTCGATTAGGCTGTGACTCAATATTTAATATTGCATGTTCCAGCTCGTAGTAAATTTCAATTTGTTTGGCCCTCTCTTGGCTTTGCGCCAGACGAACGAGTTAATCCTATGGGCGGCCTCGTCTGTTGTTGCCGACTTCTGCGCAGCGTAAGGCCATATTGTCTTTGCTAATGCCCAGTCTTCTCGTTGCAGTTGTCATTCAAATCTTGATAGCATTGATTGTGTAATCGCATCAGATTCAAAACAGTGCTTATCATTATTGCTGTTATTAAGGTGGGTTTCTGAGCCGTGGCTCGGTATTTAATATTGTCAAAATCAAAACGGTTCTTGCTAACCCCTTACTTTTCTGATACTTTCTGCGGGACAAACGAGTTAACCCGTGCAGGTGCACTACTGCATTCCCAGACTGCTATTATAAAAATGGATTGTGCAACCTCGAAATCAATTGTGTTCCGCTAACCCCTTACTTTTCTGAGACTTTCTGCGGGACAAACGAGTTAACCCGTGCAAGTGCGCTACTGCGTTCCCAGACTGCTATTATGAAAATGGATTGTGCAACGAGCTTCACAATACAGTGGCAATCATTACAGATGTTTGATTATAGGTTCAATCGAGCTGTAAGCCACGAACATTCACTATTCGATTAGGCTGTGACTCAATATTTAATATTGGTAGTTTCCAGCTCGTAGTAAATTTTCAATTTGTTTGGCCCTCTCTTGGCTTTGCGCCAGACGAACGAGTTAATCCTATGGGCGGCCTCGTCTGTTGTTGCGACTTCTGCGCAGCGTAAGGCCATATTCTTTGCTAATGCCCAATCTTCTCGTTTGCAGTTGTCATTCAAATCTTGATAGCATTGATTGTGTAATCGCATCAGATTCAAAACAGTGGTTATCATTATTGCTGTTATTAAGGTGGGTTTCTGAGCCGTGGCTCGGTATTTAATATTGTATCTTGCAATTCGAAATCAAAATGTGTTCCCGCTAACCCCTTACTTTTCTGATACTTTCTGCGGGACAAACGAGTTAACCCGTGCAGGTGCGCTACTGCATTCCCAGACTGCTATTATGAAAATGGATTGTGCAACCTCGAAATCAAATTGTGTTCCCGCTAACCCCTTACTTTTCTGAGACTTTCTGCGGGACAAACGAGTTAACCCGTGCAAGTGCGCTACTGCGTTCCCAGACTGCTATTATGAAAATGGATTGTGCAACCTTGAAATCAAATTGTGTTCCTTTTTTTTTTTTTTTTTTTTTTTTTTTTTTTTTTTTACGGATCAGAACGACAAGTCTGGAATCCAGCCCAAATGCCTTCATACCCAGACTATGCCGACGGAAGTTTATGGATCAATTCTCTTTGTAATAGAGATCACCATTTTGTATACCACGTAGAGTGGTGGGCTTCCTGTCATCACATCCGCTATATGTGAGATGGTATTTACTGAGTTGAGGTTTTACGCCGGCAACTGGGCGTTTTATATACAAGAGGTTTGAGAAACCGAATTGAATTATGGCATGTCCAGGGAACCGAAATGAGAGACATCAGAGGAATTTGATTACCTGGGGCCGAAACATGGTAGTTACCTTTTCTTTTTACCGTATTTTTTTTTGACGATTGATTCGGATGTTGAGGATTCTGTGGAAGTGGTTGTGTCCTTTCTGGCTCTTTTGTTATTTTCCTCTGTAAGATCCACAATTGGCGGCGGTAGATTTGACTCAAGGTTCGCTGGTGCAGATGTCATTGCTTCCGGTGTTGTTTCGAAGACCGACGAAGACGTGGTGTCGCCAGACTCAAAGTTATCAATCCTTACTTTGATGTAAGGATTGCCCTTTGGAAGGGGATGGAATGGCGTGTTTCCAATAGTTGACGACTCCTTCAATCTGTAGATTTGCCTGGGTGGTCTTGGCAATTGTGGAGATGGAGTTTTGAGTGGACTTACTACATTCCCGACGTCCTCACATTCAGACCAGTTTTTAATTTCTCTTAGGCAGTTTAACTCCGAGTCGGAGGTAGAAAAATCACCTACCTTGTCGGTTGTTTCAGCAGGTTGTGCATCATTCTGGCTCTGCTCTGTTGTTTCGGCAGGTTGCTCGTCATTCTGGCTCTGCTCTGATGTTTCGGCAGGTTGCACGCTATTCTGACGTTGTTGTTGCATATCTTTTCGCAGGGGTTTTCTTTTCTGCGGAGGCATGTTCCATCCTGTCACGGGGTTGGTGATGACTGGATCACGCTTCCGTTTTTGACATTCTCTTAGTAAGTGACCCGGTGTTTTACAATTCTTACAGACGGCTTCGTTCTTGCATTCACTGTATACATGGCCGGTGGTTAGGCACTTCCCACACGTCGGAGTGTATAACTCTCGTGGGAGGAAGGTCTTGCAGCTTTCACCATTGATAGCTACGTATTCCGGCAGACGGTCTTTTTTAAAACCGGTCCA